ACTCCACTTGGTTGCCTCAGAAATAATGGTTGTGTCCCTCGAATGTAGGGATACCTTAGCAATGACCCGCGATTCAAAGTTGTCATAAAGATCACAGTCCCTAATTGTTCCTCGAGTTTCCTACGAATTGATCTTATGATGTTAGTCCCTTCGAAATGCTATGGTATCTCTACTTGTTGCCTTCAGAGACCATTTCGTCCCTTCGAACGTCCCTTTACAAATCCAATGATGGTGCTACATATTCCTTAATTATAGGATAACACTGTCTAAAGGAAAACAAACAGACTTTTTTTGAGTAGGTAGATTAATTCCTAGGTACTTGCTCAAACAAAACTTTTCACACAAACACTTTTCAAAACAATTTTTTTAAACTACTTCGTCACACTCTTGAGGACTGATACAAGAGTCATCACGAAGTAAAACCTTTTCAAAACAAGCACACACAAGCAATTTAAAAATGAGCAAGTACCTAAGAGCCCGTGGAAAACCATGGATAGAAAGGGTGCTAACACCTTCCCTTTCTATAATCTACCCCCGTACTCAGAAACATTCTCGAAAAAGGTTTTTTTCTGTTCTTTTTCCTTTCCTTAATTGGATGAAATAAAAGTCGGTGGCGACTCTTAATTACCGCAACATTTAAGAATACAAAATGCAAACTAGTATAATAGTCGGTTCTGCCACCGTATCACAGTGGCCCATTCGAAGAATATACATTTGGTCCATTAGAAGGACACACAATTGGTGGAAATGAATATTGCTTTGATGAGCCTTGTCGAAAGTTATGGAAGGATGGAGTATTCGATTCAAGGAATCAAGTTGAAAACATAATCTATAGGGCATGCTATATGATCTTGCTTTTCAAGCCTCAAACTTGTGTCTCACTTCATAATTAATTGTTTACACAATTAATTAAGCTCTTACCCAATTGTTTAAAGTATTGTTCAAGCCAACCTTCCCTTAACAGCATAAAGTTATCATTGCCATTTTTAGAAAAGTTTGTATTGAGCCTTGCGATTGTCCTTTCTGCATACATATCCCCTATAAACTAGAAGCAATAGGTCTAAGGCCTCCAACAACTTCAGACCATGCTTGTACAATACCTTGAAACTTGTTTTCCACTTTTCTTCAAAAAAAGCAAGTCACCTAGTCAAAACCTTACAACAGAGAGATCCCTTGTGTAAAACATCTATAGCCTTTTCTCTATAAATATAGAGACCATTTTAAAATCAAAGGGCTAGATTTTGGTGGTGTTGAAAAAATTCTCAAATACTCCCAAACTCCCAAAAACTCTCAAAAACTCCCAAACTCTCAAAAACTTAGAACCTGCACACAAGCATAAAACTTGACACATTCTAACTTCACACACAAAAATCTCAAATCCCTTCATACGTTAGTGAGCGTTTCGATTCACCCCCTAGATTCCATATACTAGCCTTTCGATTCACTTTCTAGCCTCCATTTACCAGCCTTCTAATTCACTCCCAACATTCCATATACTAGCCTTTCGATTCAGTGACTTTCAAAGCAAAGTAGCAGACCTGCGCTCGACATCCCTGCGCTCGAAGGAAGAAGATGAAGTCATGTTTAAACATTCAGAACTAAGTTCATTTTATATTTAGTGCAAATTGTATAACAAACAGATGAAACAGACCCCCCCCCCCAGTAGTACAAACATCGCACGCTAAAAACCTTGCCATGTAGAAGGTTCTGGGTTCAAGCCCCAGTGAGACTTTTTGTTCATTTTTCATGTTTTCTCACTTTGTCTTGTTTATAGGAAGCACACTTGGGCCTCCACAGTTGGGCTTCAATAGTTTTATGCTTCTGACCCCCTGCTTACTAACAAACAGGCCCTGGGCCCAAGCACAAAACTGTTTTCTACACAAAAACTGTTTTAAACACAAAAAACTGTTTTTACACAAAAACACAAAAAATATTTAAATTATTTAATTTATTTTATTTAACTTATTACAATGAAAAAGACCAAAAACATTTTTTTATTTATTTTCTTTTATTTAACTTAATCTTAATTTTTGTATAGTTTAATTAAATTTCCTTTTAGTTAAATAGGTCAAAATCTTTCTTTAACAAAATAAAAACAAATGCATTTTCTTTTCATTCATGTCTTGTACATTATATTCCTTTTAATTTTTTACATTATTCAAATTCAATATGGTTGTAATAGATAATTAGGATTTAATTCCTTACAATCCCCATTTGTAAATTTGTACACCCCATCCCCAAATGATGTAATAGCGTAGTAAATTTACTTTCCGCAATTTACCCCTTTCATATAAATGCTAGTAAATTAGAGTGTGTATGGCAAGACTAAAATCAATCCTAGACCTAATTCAAAGGCAAAAATTCATGCAATCAAACACACTATTCACACGTGAACCTCTAGGGTAATCTCACTTGTTGCCTTGGAAAATAGTCATGTCCCTCGAATATGGGCATTTTAGCAAAGACCCTCGATAAAAAGATCGTAGTCCTTCGATGTCCCTCGATGTTGCCTTCGGTAAACGATCTAGTCCCTAATGAAAATGTCTAAAACGTCTCATAAGTTACCTTCTATGACTATACAATTGAGCCACGCTCGTCCCTTCACATCCAATGATGGGGCTTCTTTCCAATCAATGGTGAGATAGCAACATATAAAGGAGAAGGAAAAGAACATAGACCTTTTGAGTTGGTAGGACGCTTGTAGTTGCTTGCTCTTAAACTAAAACCATTTCCACACTTACACTTTCAAAACATCTCCAAAAACAAACATCACTTTGAACTATTTTCAAAACCAACACTTTATATGTATTCTTATAGAGACGAGAATCATTACAAAGTTAGCCACAACAAAGGCATTTTGCAAAATATTTTCAAACTTACACCCACCACAAACACATTTCAAACAAAGCAATTTCAAAAAGTGATCTAGCAAGCAACTAAGAGCCCGTAGAAAACTGCGGATGAAAAGGGTGCTAACACCTTCCCTTTTTATAACCTACCCCCCGAACTCAAGAAAATATCTCAAAGGTCTTTCCTGTTCTTTTCACCCTTTCCTTATTGGATAAAATAAAAGTCAGTGGCGACTCTTGCTATCCGAAACAATTGCAATCAAATACAAAACAACCAAGTCAACTCTCCCACCGTATTACACCTATCTACAATATAATCCATTGCATCAGTCTCCATGCAGCAATGTCATTATCAAATTCCTTACATTGTGTTAGTCTCCATGAAACAATGCTTTTAGAAGATTTTGTCTACTGCATCAATCTCCATGCCACAATATTTTTATCAAGCTTTTATTCACGGTATAATCCATTGCGTCAATCTCCAGGCAGCAATGTCACCATTAGAGTTTCTTCCTCTACATAACTCATTGCATCAATCTCAATGCAACAATGTTTGGTATCATTTTTTCTTGCGATATAACTCTTTGCATCAGCCTTCATGCAACATTGTGTCATCCAAGTTTATTTTATCCATCCCCTAGGTTGCGATGAATAAAAAAAATCAAATCAAAACTTACTATATTAGTCTCCTAGCATTAGTAGGCTAGCCTTTCAAAACTTGTATCATTTACCTCTTAGGTTACAGTAAATAAGCAAAATCTTACAATCTCTCAGATACCGATGAGTTATCCGCGTCATCGAGTCTTAATTCTAATCAACTTTGGTCCAAACGCTGATAGGATGATACATCATAATCTATGCATATTCTTCACACTCATGGGAGTGTTGTACAGTGTATCCTTATAATCTCTTGGATAAATCTTGAGGTTTTTCAATATTTAATAAACTTTTTATTAAACGTCCGAGACCTCTATATTCTTGCACTATTCAATCGAAAGATAATTAAATAGGGGCAGCTGTCATACCCCAAAATTTCCATACCCCTTATATTATAGTTTTCTTTTTAAATATATCACATTGTATAATCTTTATTTCTAAGGGGGTGTAAAATATCAGATAGGGGTGAATAAGAGAATTTCGTTTTGGGTTAAAAGGGCCCAAATAGACTAGTACAATGGTCCAATTCAGATTTTGAATTTATTTTGAAAAAAATATTTTGTTAATAACATTATTATTACTATTATTTTATTATAATAATCATTAATGATTGTACTAGTTTAAAAAAAATATTAACTTAATAAATTTAATTAAGTAATTGATTTCTGTTTTATTGATTCAAAAAGAGGTGCTGATAAAAGGTCTTCTTCTTTCAAAACCCAAATTTAGATTAAAATGTTTTGTTTGAAGACCAAAATAAAACAGGCCCAGTTCAAACAAAAAAAAACCTTAGGCCCATTCCATTTTATGTTTAGTTAAATAATTAGTTTTATTTAAGAGAAAAAACATTTGGTTAAAAATGAACCATTCGGGCCCATTTCGCCCAGCCCAAAGTCAACCAAAATTCAATCAGTCTAAAACAAATGATTTTGTATGGCCCATAACCAAACAAACAACTATTGTGCGAATTGGAGAGAGAATAACACACACCTTTAACTAGTATCGTTCAAAACAGATCCTTCTTTTCTGGTGTTTGCATACAATACAAGATCAATATATTAACACTAATAAAAATCGAATCGTAAACAATCAATACAAAATCAACACTATTACACATAATCAAAGCAATTTTTTTTAATCCCTAAATAACAATCTCATTAAAATACTTCCTAAAATCTGCTAAACAATAAACAACAATTAAGTTATTTCCTAAAGGAACCTAATCCTTGGAGCTATAAAATTAAAACTGTTAGTGCTTCGTCAAAGGAGAGATAAATGAGCTACCTTATTCACATAATAACCCAAGATTAAAATAATTGTGATACACCTACTCTTATCTCTCTTTCTTACTAACCAGTAAAAAATTGGAATTGATTGTGTTATTGTCTTCATTTTTTGCAGAGAAGGTAGAAGGAGAAGGAAAATAACAACAAAGTCCAAGTTTTCTTTCTCAATTTATGAATTTCCGAACCTTGTTTTCAAGGTAGAAAAGAAATGAGGAGAAGGAAATCACAACTGTGCCAAAAAGTGTAGAAGCCGCCGTGAAGCACCGAATTTTCCGGTCTCTCCTCCAAAACACGTCACCTTTTTTTTACCGTTTGAATTTGTTTTTGCAGGAAGAGGAAAATGGAAACCATCAATGCTTTAAGCAACATCGACATCGCCATAGACCATGGTTTACAACCTCCCAGGTCAGAACTCAAATCCACTCCGACCCAACTGCACGTGCGACAGAACCACGGTCCATCACCATCGCGAGCCACTGGTGAACCACCTATGGAACTTCCACGAACTGGTACTGCAATCACATGAAAATTTATATCAAGTCACTCCAAATTGCAAACATATGCCACTGTTCAAATTTACCACAACTCTCGATTTTGTTTTCTTGCATTATTTGTTTATTTTTATTCACGGATGTGTTGGTTTGATGACTGAGTAGATGGAAGAAAAATTGAAAAAATAAATGGAAGGGAAAGAAGTAGACAAACAAAGGAAGAGAGATAAGGTAATTCTAAGTTTTTCCCTTGGATTATCTTACCTGATATCATATTCCTCTTGTTATTATTTTATTTTATTTTTCTTTTTAGAAAACCAATCCACATGTTCAAATATTATGGGTTAATAGCATTGTAAGTTGCTTTAAAAGGAGAGAACATGTATCAGTAAATGAAAAAGTGGTACAGTCATTTGTTTTATTATTATTATTATTATTATTATTATTATTATTATTATTATTATTTACAATGTTTATCTTTTCAAAAAGAGAGAGGTATTGTCACAAACATAAAACGTTTTATTATTATTATTATTATTATTATTATTATTATTATTATTATTATTATTATTATTATTATTATTATTATTATTATTATTATTATTTACAATGTTTATCTTTTCAAAAAGAGAGAGGTATTGTCACAAACATAAAACAGGCTGCCTCCCATAATTGGCTGCGTTAGATTTTTGTTTTGTTTTTTTTAATTTCTATTTTTTTATTCTTCCTATTTGTTTTTATATAATATATGTAAATTACTAAATTAGTAATTTATTTGATTTGGCTTATCCAATTTTATTTAATTAATTAGCAAGGATATAAAAAATGTACTCTTATTTTATCTAAGTTAATTAGGAATACTTAGATCTGATTGGTTATATACGTTTTAACTTCTTTCGTATTTAAAATTAAATTAATTCGATATCTTACAAAAATATTAAAACTCACACAATTCTAAATATTTCATCCGCGAGACACATGGCCAATATCTGGCCACATGATGAGGAAGGCTATATCAGACTCTCTCTGCATCCTTCATAACGAGCAGTAAAAAGTGAATATTTGACCACGTGATGAGGAGACTATATCAGACTCCCCTCGCTCTACATTTTAAAACAGCTAACCAACATCAAATTTTATTTTTTACTGACATAATCAAAATCCAACATCATTTAAAAAAAAAAGATTAAATAGCATCGTCTTCGAATCAAACTACGAACTGCGTCTACAATTACTCAACTTACAACCCAGACAAGGTTTAAAGTAAATTCGAAAGCAATTCTACGCAATCTTATAAAAAAACACCAACCAAACACTGTGAACTACGAATTGGGACTCTAATTCCTCCTAAGAGGATACGTAGGTATACGATCAAAATCGTGGCGAGTCTCCTAAAAAATATTAAAACCCTTTTCTCCCCTAATAAAACTTAAAACCCTATTTTTTTAAAAAGCGCTTCTAAACCTAGTATCTTTGTGAACAACATAGATGAGGGGTGCCAAACACCTTCCCTTAATCTAGAACCGAGTCAGGCCTAGAATCTCTGGACTTTTTAGGGTTATTCCTTTATATTCCATTCCTTTAATATAAAAATTAAGGGTGGCGACTCTGATTTAAAAACTAGTTGCAATAATTGCCTCTAATTCTGTGTTCCACGAACGCACCAAGCATCTGGAAATCGATTGTGATTTAGTCCACGAGCGACTTCAACAAGGCTTACTCCGTCTTCTTCCTATTTCCCCTCATGAGCAACTTGCATATTTTTTGACTAAAGCTCAATCAATATCAACTTTCAACAAGTTTGTATTCAAACTTGGCATGATCAATATGCATCATGCTTAGCTTAAGAGGGGTTTTTGTGATTAGCTAATTAATGATTGATTAGTTTAATTAATTACAGTTTATTGCTTTTTAATTTGTAGCTTGGATATTGGTTGATTAGTATAAATATCTAGCTTATCATTGACTCGTTAAAGATAAGATTTTAAACTCTCTTACCTCCGATTTCTTTGAAACTATTGCAATGTCTATTGATACTCAAACTCCATTATGAGCTGAAAATGAATCAATACTTCATTTCCACAATCTTCTTCTTTTATGAACTGAATGCTTCATCACAATAGTTTTTCGAATTTAAAATTTAAAAATAATACAAATTTCATTTTTACTATTCGTAGATTCCTCTGTTTTGCCTCCTCCTTAAATTTAGTCAACAAAATTAATGATATAGCACTATTGTGTTGATTTTTTGTTATTTTTTATTTATTTTATTATTACGTGGAAACACTACATAGACTTTCATTATTTTTTATTTTTTATTTAACATGGCTTATGTTTTATTTTATTTTATTCAATTTGAAAATTTTGAATGGTTAAAATTTTAAAATTTTGACAACAATAAGTGTTGAATCTATCAACATTTACATAATGGTAACAACCCTTACTACTAAGTTATTTGATTTTCTTATTTAATAAGTTGCATCAAAATGTATATATTTGTTGGCTCCTAAATTCGACACCCACGTTCTATTATCATATAGATCAGTAATTATGAGTTAGAAGAGTTTCCTACACAAGAAGGCTTCGATCAGCTGATCACATCGAAGGCTTATCAAAGAATGACAAGATACTTAGAGAAATTTCTATAAGTTGGAATCATGTTGTTTTCAACGTCGAAGGAGAAACCTTTCGACCAAGGTCCCTGATGCCCAAGATCGAACGGTTTGAATTTCGAATTGTTGGAGGGAAAACGGCTCCCAGCAGTTACCAAACGCAACGTGGCGTGGAAGTAGGCGTCGAGGGTTGTGACCGTGCCATGTGGTGTCACCACGAAGCGATGTAACTGCCCAACAGTTACTTAGGATTTTTAGTATAAATACTAAGTGTTCACGTAGTTATTGCGTGTGTTCATCATTGTATACAAGTCACTCATTTAGATTCAAGTACCCAGCGTGAGAGAAAGAATCATTGAGAATGTATGTGTGAAACACCATTTACCTTAATTGAAATCTTTTACATTCAAGCAATTTATCGCTTTCACTTATTTATCTCAGTCGAAGTCATTTATTTAACAAGCCTTTAATGCTTTAATTTACTTTACCAAACTTTTCTCCATGCAATTTACTTAAAGTGTCTCTACCTTACTTGCGTTAATCACCATTAGGATTAGTCAAAACTCTCTATTTCAAAGCATTTAAACGATAAAAATCAACCATGTCTTAGGATCAATCTGATCGATCCTGCGAGTCACCAAATAAGTTACCTTTTGGAAGATCAGCGGTTGTTTACCATTTTTCACGGTAAACAAATTGGCACACCCGGTGGGACCTTGTGTTGATTTTACCAGTTTAATCGTTTTTTATAAAATATACTCCTTTTTCGAGAGTATTGCATGTTATTGAGAAGTGGTAGAATATACACCAACGAAACCAATACTAGGAGAAGAAGTAGAGAAATAGCGAATCCGCCAAACAATGGAGAAAACCCATAAACAAACGTGGGAGCGACGGTTATCCCAACCATAAGCGAAGTGGTAACCGCTGGTTCAACGCCAGCAGTAACGGTTACACAAACGGGGCCAATACCTTCATTTACAGGCCCCAGAATGCCTTTGGGAACTCCCCCACCAAGGGGAAACCAAGGAACCAGACCATATGTTCCCCCAGGTTTTTCGACAGTCTGGTTAAATCGAGAACCACCCTACGGCATGCCAACTTCTGAATTGACTAGCCTGACGAACTCTACGTCCACCTTTTCAGAACCTTTATTGAGCGCCTCTTCGCCACTCCAAGGCTCTGGAGTTGGTATGGAGAAAATGGGTAGGAACCAACTCTTAGGAGGAACGTCCCACGTAATGCCTGGCCTTACGAATATCTCGACAGCAGTCTTGAGGCAGCAAATGGACGAAAGCAACCACGACATGGTTCAAATGTTGGCGCAAACTTTAAGTACAATGCTAAATCCTCTAATACAGAATACCACCCAGTCGAATCAGCAAATGACAGCACAAATGTCACGTCTGGCTGACTTTTTTGGGGTACCCAACCCATTCGACAGCCCCAAAGGGCACAGATAAGGGGAAACCAAGGCATACTTCTAGAGGAAGAAACCACTATTAACCAAGTCCAGCAGCCTGTCGAAGAGAACCTTAGGGTACAAATGGGACAACACGGGGTCGAAGAGCTGAGATTCGTAGTCCCGGAAATAAGGATGGTTAATAGAAACCAAAACGCTGACGAAGTAGTTCAGCAAATCCAATACAAGAATGTTGGTTTGGAGAATAACTTGACAGCCATGATTGAAAGAATCATGATGAAAAACGGGGTGAATACGGGCTTCCGTAGGCCCAACTTCACATCCCTGCTGTCGGAATATGTGTTACAAACGGACTTGCCTCCTAGATGCAAAGTCCCTAAGTTCACTAAGTTTTCAGGGGACACGACAGAATCCACTGTCGAACATGTGGCAAGATATTTAATCGAAGCGGGAGAAATCTCAAACAATGAGAACCTAAGGATTAAGTATTTCCCAAGTTCCCTAACAAAGAATGCGTTTACTTGGTTCACAACTCTCCCCCCAATTCGATCCACCATTGGACCCAGTTGGAGAGATTGTTCCATGAGAAATTCTACATGGGACAAACCAAGATAAGCTTGAAAGAGTTGGCTAGTGTAAAGAGGATATTCACTGGGCCTATAGACGAATACCTAAATAGGTTTAGATTTCTCAAGGCAAGATGCTTTACGCAAGTGCCAGAGCACGAGTTAGTCGAAATAGCCGCTGGAGGTCTAGATTACTCCATTAGGAAGAAATTAGACACTCAGTACCTGAGGGACATGGCCCAATTGGCCGATAGGGTTCGACAGGTAGAACTCCTTAAAGCTAAAAAAGCTAGGGCGACGAAAACTCATAAAAGAGAAAAGATAGCATATGTCGAAATGGACGATGAAGATCTAGAAACATTCGACGAACTTATAGCCGTCGAGGAGAGTGAGGTCGATTTAGTTGAGTAAAAATGAGGGCCACCATACTCTTGCAAATTACTAGTCCCCTCAAGTGGAAAAAACCCCACTGAGTCTGAAAAGGCCAATGATAGGTTCCCTAAAAAGACTTACAGTTTCGATATTACGAAATGTGATGAAATTTTTGATTTACTTGTAAAAGATGGCCAAATGATAATACCCCCAGGGATAAAAGTGCCTCCTCTTGATCAAAGAAAGAAAAAAGGCTA